CCCTCTGTTTTATTTCACCTGCCGACGTCGCCCCTCCCCGTGACGGCGCCCCTCCCCGCGCCCCACCCCGCCCCATCCTGCTCCGGGATCCGAAGGCTTCCAGGTCCGAAGACTCCAGGATTAGAGGACTTCGAATTTCAGGATTCCAGGTGCGAGAACGTCGAATTTCAAAGATTTCGAAATTGGAGAGACTGTGAATTTCAAAGTTCCGAGACTAGAAGTTTCACACTTCCGGAGTTTCCTGAATTTGAAAATTTCGAAGTAAGAAAACGCCAAAGGTCATTTGGCGTTTCCCAACTTCTGGATTTTCAAACCCTGGAGACCCTGAAGTGTAAAGGCTTCTAACTCGAAGTCTTTGAACTCCACAGACTTACCAATTCCGAAGTCTTGGTGCCCCAAGATTTTCGAACTTCGAATCTTTAAAGTTCGAAGCCCTCGTACCTGGAGATCCTGAAATACGATGTCTTCCAATCCTGGAGCCTTAGGATCCAGAAGTCTTCGAATCCCGGAGCCCGCCGATCGGATCCCTCGATGTCCTGATGATCCTGATGTTCTCCACTGATGATGATGGTGTTGGTTTGACTCCAATGTCCATCTTCTATCCTGGTGTGCATTAGAAGATGGAGAATTCTGGCTAGCTACGACGTCCGGCCTTCATTACTGAAAAGAAAGATTCATAATTGAAAATAAGAAGAGTTTTAAAGTATATAAAAGGAAATTCAAAATTTAAATATAGTTAAAGAAAATTAAAAGAAGTAAAGTTTTAAGAAAAATTCTATAAATAATCAAAGTAAAGTACAAAATAAATTAAATTTGAAACAATAAAATTTAGTGAAAAGTCATAAAGTAAAAAGATTTGAATAAAAGAAGTCAAGAAAATGAAACTTTAAATGAAGTTGGAAGTAAATTAAAGGAAATAAAGTTTAAAAAACAGTGTTTACGTTAATAAAAGAAAAGTGAATTAAATTAAATCATGAGAAAAAGTCATACTACATAATAAATGGAAACTAAAGATCTAAGTAAACGAAATCAAAAGGAAGAAAAGTTTTGACAAAGAGTTACAATGTAGACAGAAAATAGTAAAAGCTACAAATAAAGTTAAAGTAATGAGAGAGGTTAAGAAAAAATTGATAAAAGACAAAAAATGTATAAGGAGTAAACTAAAAACCAACTACTCTAAAATAAAGAAAAGAAAAGCAAAAATACAATAAGTGAATAAATCTTACATGTCCTTGGTGTTCCTTTTGCATTGTCTGAGCTAAAATTAGTCCACATCTCTCTTTTAGAAGTCCTGATGATTCCTACTGGACTTCATGTCTTGCTTAACTCCATATCTCTATTAAAAATAATGAAAGATTAGAAACAGTTTTGAAAACAATTAAATTGATAATGCTTAGATTTCGATGACGTTATTTAATAAAGGAAAAGTTTTGATAAAGAATTTCAAAGTAAATAAAAACAGAAAAACTTATAAATAATGTTATTGTAAAGTAAAAGTTTATGTAAAAAGAAAGAAAAGATAAAAAACGTGTAAGGAATGAACTAAAAGCAAACTTTTGAAAATAAAGAAAAGAAAAGGCAAAAAAACAATAAGTAAATAAAACTTACATTTCCCTGGTGTCCCTTTTGTCTTGACTGAGTTGAAATTAATCCATATCTCCCTTTTAGATGTCCTAGTAGTCCTGATGCTCCCTGCTGGACTTCATGCCTTGCTTCTCCATATCTCTGATGAGGATAAAGGAAAAGAACTAGAAAATTTTGAATAAAGTTAAATTAATAAATTTTTCTTTTCAACGACGTTATTTAATAAAGGAAAAGCTTATCAATGCGTTTGAAGGAAAATACAAATAGAAAAACGTTATAAATAAAATGAATGTAAAGAGAAAATGTATGTAAAAAGAAGGAAAAGACAAAAGATGTGTAAGGAATTAACTAAAAGCAAACTTTTGAAAATAAAGGAAAGAAAAGGCAAAAAACAATAAGTAAATAAAACTTACATTTCCCTGGTGTCCCTTTTGTCTTGACTGAGTTGAAATTAATCCATATCTCCCTTTTAGATGTCCTAGTAGTCCTGATGCTCCCTGCTGGACTTCATGCCTTGCTTCTCCATATCTCTGATTTTAATTTCTTTTTATTTCCTTTACATAAGTTTNTATAAATAATGTTATTGTAAAGTAAAAGTTTATGTAAAAAGAAAGAAAAGATAAAAAACGTGTAAGGAATGAACCAAAAACGAATTACTCGAAAATAAAGAAAAGAAAAGCAAAAATACAATAAGTGAATAAATCTTACATGTCCTTGGTGTTCCTTTTGCATTGTCTGAGCTTAAATTAGTCCACATCTCTCTTTTAGAAGTTCTGATGATTCCTACTGGACTTCATGTCTTGCTTAACTCCATATCTCTATTAAAAATAATGAAAGATTAGAAACAGTTTTGAAAACAATTAAATTGATAATGCTTAGATTTCGATGACGTTATTTAATAAAGGAAAAGTTTTGATAAAGAATTTCAAAGTAAATAAAAACAGAAAAACTTATAAATAATGTTATTGTAAAGTAAAAGTTTATGTAAAAAGAAAGAAAAGATAAAAAACGTGTAAGGAATGAACCAAAAACGAATTACTCGAAAATAAAGAAAAGAAAAGCAAAAATACAATAAGTGAATAAATCTTACATGTCCTTGGTGTTCCTTTTGCATTGTCTGAGCTTAAATTAGTCCACATCTCTCTTTTAGAAGTTCTGATGATTCCTACTGGACTTCATGTCTTGCTTAACTCCATATCTCTATTAAAAATAATGAAAGATTAGAAACAGTTTTGAAAACAATTAAATTGATAATGCTTAGATTTCGATGACGTTATTTAATAAAGGAAAAGTTTTGATAAAGAATTTCAAAGTAAATAAAAACAGAAAAACTTATAAATAATGTTATTGTAAAGTAAAAGTTTATGTAAAAAGAAAGAAAAGATAAAAAACGTGTAAGGAATGAACCAAAAACGAATTACTCGAAAATAAAGAAAAGAAAAGCAAAAATACAATAAGTGAATAAATCTTACATGTCCTTGGTGTTCCTTTTGCATTGTCTGAGCTTAAATTAGTCCACATCTCTCTTTTAGAAGTTCTGATGATTCCTACTGGACTTCATGTCTTGCTTAACTCCATATCTCTATTAAAAATAATGAAAGATTAGAAACAGTTTTGAAAACAATTAAATTGATAATGCTTAGATTTCGATGACGTTATTTAATAAAGGAAAAGTTTTGATAAAGAATTTCAAAGTAAATAAAAACAGAAAAACTTATAAATAATGTTATTGTAAAGTAAAAGTTTATGTAAAAAGAAAGAAAAGATAAAAAACGTGTAAGGAATGAACCAAAAACGAATTACTCGAAAATAAAGAAAAGAAAAGCAAAAATACAATAAGTGAATAAATCTTACATGTCCTTGGTGTTCCTTTTGCATTGTCTGAGCTTAAATTAGTCCACATCTCTCTTTTAGAAGTTCTGATGATTCCTACTGGACTTCATGTCTTGCTTAACTCCATATCTCTATTAAAAATAATGAAAGATTAGAAACAGTTTTGAAAACAATTAAATTGATAATGCTTAGATTTCGATGACGTTATTTAATAAAGGAAAAGTTTTGATAAAGAATTTCAAAGTAAATAAAAACAGAAAAACTTATAAATAATGTTATTGTAAAGTAAAAGTTTATGTAAAAAGAAAGAAAAGATAAAAAACGTGTAAGGAATGAACCAAAAACGAATTACTCGAAAATAAAGAAAAGAAAAGCAAAAATACAATAAGTGAATAAATCTTACATGTCCTTGGTGTTCCTTTTGCATTGTCTGAGCTTAAATTAGTCCACATCTCTCTTTTAGAAGTTCTGATGATTCCTACTGGACTTCATGTCTTGCTTAACTCCATATCTCTATTAAAAATAATGAAAGATTAGAAACAGTTTTGAAAACAATTAAATTGATAATGCTTAGATTTCGATGACGTTATTTAATAAAGGAAAAGTTTTGATAAAGAATTTCAAAGTAAATAAAAACAGAAAAACTTATAAATAATGTTATTGTAAAGTAAAAGTTTATGTAAAAAGAAAGAAAAGATAAAAAACGTGTAAGGAATGAACCAAAAACGAATTACTCGAAAATAAAGAAAAGAAAAGCAAAAATACAATAAGTGAATAAATCTTACATGTCCTTGGTGTTCCTTTTGCATTGTCTGAGCTTAAATTAGTCCACATCTCTCTTTTAGAAGTTCTGATGATTCCTACTGGACTTCATGTCTTGCTTAACTCCATATCTCTATTAAAAATAATGAAAGATTAGAAACAGTTTTGAAAACAATTAAATTGATAATGCTTAGATTTCGATGACGTTATTTAATAAAGGAAAAGTTTTGATAAAGAATTTCAAAGTAAATAAAAACAGAAAAACTTATAAATAATGTTATTGTAAAGTAAAAGTTTATGTAAAAAGAAAGAAAAGATAAAAAACGTGTAAGGAATGAACCAAAAACGAATTACTCGAAAATAAAGAAAAGAAAAGCAAAAATACAATAAGTGAATAAATCTTACATGTCCTTGGTGTTCCTTTTGCATTGTCTGAGCTTAAATTAGTCCACATCTCTCTTTTAGAAGTTCTGATGATTCCTACTGGACTTCATGTCTTGCTTAACTCCATATCTCTATTAAAAATAATGAAAGATT